GGACACATCCAGCATTGCGCCCTCTTGCTCTGCTGCCCTCCATTGGAGCCTCAGCGGCATCTGTTTGCCCTTTGCCGCCCTCCTGTGGACACATCCAGCATTGCGCCCTCTTGCTCTGCTGCCCTCCATTGGAGCCTCAGCGGCATCTGTTTGCCCTTTGCCGCCCTCCTGTGGACACATCCAGCATTGCGCCCTCTTGCTCTGCTGCCCTCCATTGGAGCCTCAGCGGCATCTGTTTGCCCTTTGCCGCCCTCCTGTGGACACATCCGGCATTGCGCCCTCTTGCTATGCTGCCCTCCATTGGAGCCTCAGCGGCATCTGTTTGCCCTTTGCTGCCCTCCTGTGGACACATCCAGCATTGCGCCCTCTTGCTATGCTGCCCTCCATTGGAGCCTCAGCGGCATCTGTTTGCCCTTTGCCGCCCTCCTGTGGACACATCCGGCATTGCGCCCTCTTGCTATGCTGCCCTCCATTGGAGCCTCAGCGGCATCTGTTTGCCCTTTGCCGCCCTCCTGTGGACACATCCGACATTGCGCCCTCTTGCTATGCTGCCCTCCATTGGAGCCTCAGCGGCATCTATTTGCCCTTTGCCGCCCTCCTGTGGACACATCCGGCATTGCGCCCTCTTGCTATGCTGCCCTCCATTGGAGCCTCAGTGGCATCTGTTTGCCCTTTGCCGCCCTCCTGTGGACACATCCGGCATTGCGCCCTCTTGCTATGCTGCCCTCCATTGGAGCCTCAGCGGCATCTATTTGCCCTTTGCCGCCCTCCTGTGGACACATCCGGCATTGCGCCCTCTTGCTATGCTGCCCTCCATTGGAGCCTCAGCGGCATCTGTTTGCCCTTTGCCGCCCTCCTGTGGACACATCCGGCATTGCGCCCTCTTGCTATGCTGCCCTCCATTGGAGCCTCAGCGGCATCTGTTTGCCCTTTGCCGCCCTCCTGTGGACACATCCGGCATTGCGCCCTCTTGCTATGCTGCCCTCCATTGGAGCCTCAGTGGCATCTGTTTGCCCTTTGCCGCCCTCCTGTGGACACATCCGGCATTGCGCCCTCTTGCTATGCTGCCCTCCATTGGAGCCTCAGCGGCATCTATTTGCCCTTTGCCGCCCTCCTGTGGACACATCCGGCATTGCGCCCTCTTGCTATGCTGCCCTCCATTGGAGCCTCAGCGGCATCTGTTTGCCCTTTGCCGCCCTCCTGTGGACACATCCGGCATTGCGCCCTCTTGCTATGCTGCCCTCCATTGGAGCCTCAGCGGCATCTGTTTGCCCTTTGCCGCCCTCCTGTGGACACATCCGGCATTGCGCCCTCTTGCTATGCTGCCCTCCATTGGAGCCTCAGCGGCATCTGTTTGCCCTTTGCCGCCCTCCTGTGGACACATCCGGCATTGCGCCCTCTTGCTATGCTGCCCTCCATTGGAGCCTCAGTGGCATCTGTTTGCCCTTTGCCGCCCTCCTGTGGACACATCCGGCATTGCGCCCTCTTGCTATGCTGCCCTCCATTGGAGCCTCAGCGGCATCTGTTTGCCCTTTGCCGCCCTCCTGTGGACACATCCGGCATTGCGCCCTCTTGCTATGCTGCCCTCCATTGGAGCCTCAGCGGCATCTGTTTGCCCTTTGCCTGCCCTCCTGTGGACACATCCAGCATTGCGCCCTCTTGCTATTCTGTCCCTCCATTGCTGAGCATATTACTATCCTATATAAGTGTGTGTGTTCATCTTCCTTCCTTCCTTCCAGGTGGAGAACGAGAGTCTTCCGGAGCACGAGGGCCGGAGCCTGGCGGAGCACCTCTACCTGCTGCTGGGCTTTGTGCTGAGCCTGCGCCCGGATCCCCCCAGGGCCACCTCCTTTTCCGGGCCGGGGCCCCTCTCGGTGCCAGAGGAGGGCTCCCCTTTGCGGCTCCTCTCGGGACCCGACCCCCCCGGCTTCCTGGAGCTTCTGGGCCGGTGCCAGGTCCTGGAGCAGAAGGCCACCACCTTCGAGAACATCGTCTGTGTCCTTAACCGGGAGGTGGAGAGGGGGGCCCTGGCCGCCGAGGCCCACCTCCTCCAGCACCGCCTGGACCAGGAGAAGATCGAGGCCCTCAGCACCAAGGTGAGGAGATTGCTATTAGTATTATTATTTTAAATATTATTATTAGATTTTATCGTATTATATATTATTATTAGTTATGTTATTACCTCATAATATATTCTATTATTATTAGTTATTAATAATAATAATAATACATAATAATAATAAAGTTTATTTTTATCTTGTTTTTTCTCTTTTATTATTTCATGTAATATTATTAGATCTTATCATATTATATATAATTAGTTATATTATTACCTCATAATATATTATATTATTTTTATTCGTTATTATTATTAATAAATCATAATAATAATAAAGTTTTCTTGTTTTTTTCTCTCCATACGGAGACTTATTATTTCATATGTTATTACTAGATCTTATCATATTATATATAATTAGTTGTATTATTGCCTCATAATATATTATATTATTTTTATTAATTATTATTAATAATAATACATAATAATAATAAAGTTTTCTTGTTTTTTTCTCTCCATACGGAGACTTATTATTTCATATGTTATTACTAGATATCATATCATATATTATTAGTTATATTATTATATTATAATATATTATTATATTATATTGATTTTTATTATTAATAACAATGAATTATTAATATTAATAATATAATGTTTATTAATATCTCACTTTTTCTCTCCATACGGAGACTCAAAGCAGCTCACAGTAAAAAGCATTACAATACAATACAACTTAAAATATACAATTATTAAAACTTTATTAAACCTCAGTAGTATTCTAAACAATTCAGGTTCAACCATAGAGGCAATATTAATCTATCATTATATATTATATTATTATATACATTGTTATATTATATCATATATGTAATATATATATATATGTAACTGAACATGAGATATTACTATCATATGTGTGAAACATATTTATATGTTTCTGAAGACCTATTAATGTATTATAATATATTATTATTATTATTATTGTTATTATTATTGTTATTATTATTATTGGTTGAGAAGGCACCATTCAATTCCTCCCGACAGACAGACATCCAGCCATAGCTGGCTATAGGTATGAGAGAGATACAGATGCATTGTCGTAGAATTGGCAGAAGACCCAAAGGGGCCGTCCAGTCCGACTCAATTCTGCAACGCAGGAAGGTGCAATCGGAACTCTCCCAACAGATGGCCACGCAGCCATAGATAGATGGCCATAGATAATGAAAGACAGAGATGATAGATGGATGTATCATTGAATTCTAGAGTTTCAAGGGACCCCCAAGGGCCATCCAGTCCAACCCCTTTTTGCTATCAAGGAAGGTACACTATCCGAGCCCTCCTGACAGATGGTCACCCAGCCTTAGATCAATGAACATGATTGAAAGAAAAACATATATGATAAATATATAATAAAATTTTAGAGTTGGAAGAGACCACCAAAGATGATCCAGTCCAATCCCTTTCTATTATTATCAAGGAAGACACCATCCGATCCTTCCCAACAGATGGCCAGTCAGCCACATAAGTGTTGAAGAGGGATTTGGGGAAAGTTCTGTGCCAATTTAACCATGGCTTCCTTCCTTCCTTCGTTCTGGCAGGTGCGCCAGCTGGAGCGGAGCCTGGCCTCGAAGGACCTGGCCCTGGCAGAGATGGAGCACACCCTTCAGGAGATGGAGGCCGCCTCCTTCGATGGGATCTTCATCTGGAAGATCTCGGACTTTGCCAAGAAGCGCCAGGAGGCCGTCGCCGGGCGCTCCCCGGCCATCTTCTCCCCAGGTGGGTCTCTCCCCAGGCGGCTTTGGGGCCTCCCTTTGGGTACAGGAGCCACCTTGAGGTTCCCCTTGGGGGTTCCATGGCGCTCTATAGACACACATATATACGTACAAACGTGTGTGTAAGTATGACTGCCTGTATGTACCACAAGGGCTGTTGCTGGGTGGAGTGGCCTTTTGTGATGTCACTGGGAAAGAAAGATATGGGAGAGAAAGGAAGGAAGGGAGAAGTAAGGGAGAGAAAAAGAGAGGAATGATGGATGGATGGATGGAAGTAAGAAAAGAAGGAGAAAAGGAAGGAAGGGAGAAGAAGGGAAAAAGAAGAGTAGGGAAAGAAGGAAAGAAAGAAAGAAAAAGAAGGGGAAATAAGGGAGAAGGAAGAGAAAAAGAAGAGAAAGGAAGGAAAGAGAAAAGGAAGGGAAAGGGAAGAGTAAGGAAGAGAAAAAGAAAAGAAGGGAAAAAGAAGGAAGGAAGGGAGAAGGAAAGGAAGAGATAAAGAAGAGGAAGGAATTAAAGAAGGAAGGAAGGAAGGAGAAAAAAGAGAGAAGGGGAAAGTAAGAAAAAAAGACAGGGAAGGAAGGGAGAAGTAAGGAAGAGAAAAAGAAGAGGAAAGGAGAAAAAGAAGGGAAAGGAAGGGAGAAGGAAAGGAAGAGAAAAGAAGAGGAAGGAAGGAGAAAAAAGGGAGAGAAGGAGAAAGTAAGAGAAAAAGACAGGGAAGGAAGGGAGAAGTAAGGAAGAGAAAAAGAAGAGGAACGATGGATAAATGGAAGGAAGGAAGGAGAAAAAGGAGAAGGAAGGGAGAAGGGAAGGAAGAGAAAAAAGAAGAGGAATGATAGATAAATGGAAGGAAGAAAGGAAGGAGAAAAGAGAAAGGAAGGAAAAGAGAAGGAAGAGAAAAAGAAAAGGGGAGGAAGGATGGAGAAAAGGGAAAGGAAGGAAAGAAAGGGAAAAGAAGGGGAAGGAAGGGAGAAGGAAGAGAAAAGAAGAGAAAGGAAGGAAGGAAAGAAAAAGAAGGGGAAGGAAGTGAGAAGGAAAGGAAGAGAAAAAGACAAGAAAGGAAAGACGCGAGAAGTAAGGAAGAGAAAAAGGAAAGAAAGAAAGGAAATAAGAAGAAAAAGAAGGGGAAGGAAGGGAGAAGGAAAGGAAGAAAAAAAGACAAAGGAAAGGAGCGAGAAGTAAGGAAGACAAAAAGAACGATGGAAGAAAGGAAGGAAGGGGAAAGGTAGGAAAGGAGAATGAAGAGAAAAAGAAGGGGAAGGGAGAAGGAAAGAAAGAGAAAAATACAGGGAAGGGAAGCGGGAAGGAGTAAAAAGAAAAGGAAAAGAGAGGAAAAGGAATGATAAGGAAGAAGAGACATTATGCAGGGAGGGAAGAAAGAAAAAGAAGGGAAGAGAAAGGGAAAGTGTGTGAGGAAAAGCAGGGAACAAGGGAAGAAATGAAGGGAAGGTGTATGAGAAGGAAAGAAAGGAAAAGAGGGGAAGGAAAGAGAAGTGAGGGAGGGGGGATGGAAAAAGGAAGAGAAAGGGAAAAGGTATGTGTAAGGAAGGAAAGGAAGAAAGAAGGAAAGAAAGAGAAATAGAGGAAGGGATGGGGGGGGGGGGGAGGAAAAGAGAGATAGCCAAGAGAGAAAAGTGGGAGATGATGACGGTGGTGACAATGACGCCCTGCTCTCCCTCCCACAGCCTTCTACACCGGGAAGTACGGCTACAAGATGTGCCTCCGCATCTACCTCAACGGGGACGGCACGGGGCGGGGCTCCCACCTCTCCCTCTTCTTCGTGGTCATGAGGGGCCCCTGCGACGCCCTCCTGCGCTGGCCCTTCAACCAGAAGGTAGGGGAGGGGTCGCATGGCACCTTTGGGGGCTCTTTCCCAATCTACAATACTATAGCATATCCATCTAATCATTTCTATGGCTGGATGCCCATCTGTCAGGAGGGCTTGGGTGGTGTCTTCCATTGTGGCAGAATTTGGTTGGATTGGATGTCCTTTGGGGGTCCCTTCCACTTCTAGGACATCAGTTAAGCCCCCCACCACAACTAGGTGGCACCCATCGGGGGATTATTATTATTATTATTATTATTATTATTATTATTATTATTCTGACACAAAAACACACTATGTCATACCAAATGAGATCTATATACTGGATTTTGTATTATTATTATTATTCGATACATAACAATATTATTACACAGCAAACAAGATCCTTATGCTGGCTTTTGTTTTTGATCCCATGTTGGACCCTTCCCAAGTGTCTAGGACGGTGAATAATGTGTGCAGATCCGAGTAGTGATTTTGTCAGTGCTTATTGTTTTTAAGTGCAGGCCAGGGTCTTGAGGCACTGCACCCAGTGTGCTGATCACCACTGGGATCCCTTGACTGGCTTGTGCCAGAGGCTTTGCAGTTTGTGTAAGTTTTTCCAGTTGCTTCTCGTCAATGGTGCTGTCATATTGGATTGCAACGTCGACAATCAATTATTATTATTATTATTATTATTATTATTATTATTATTATTATTATCATTATTAAACAGAGGCTGGTTGGCCCTCTGTGGGGAGGGCTTTTATGATGCCGTGCTTCCTGGCAGAAGGGGGTGGGACTGGATGGCTTTTGAAGGGTCCCTTCAAATACAAGATTATTATGCTGGCTTTTGTATTTCATCACACGTTGCACACTGCTCAATCTGCCAGTTTTTTGCCTAGTAGCAATAATAATAATAATAATAATAATAATAATAATAATAATAATAATAATAATAATAATGTGCCAGAGTCTTTGCAGTTCAATCTTTAAATCCTTGTATCATGACAACTGGAAAAGCTGGCAGATTGGGCTGTGCCTTCCTTCCTAGCATATTTTTTATTAATATTACTGCTAGCATATTATTATTATTATTATTATTATTATTATTATTATTATTATTAGTCAAAGGCTGGCAGATTGGGCAGTGCCTTCCTTCCTGCATATTTTTTATTAATATTACTGTTAGCTTATTATTATTATTATGATTATTATTATTATTAGTCAAATGCTGGCAGATTGGGCAGTGCCTTCCTCCCTAGCATATTTTTTATTAATATTACTGCTAGCTTATTATTATTATTATGATTATTATTATTATTAGTCAAATGCTGGCAGATTGGGCAGTGCCTTCCTCCCTAGCATATTTTTATTAATACTATTGCTAGCATATGATGATGATTATTATTAATATTATTATTATTAATATTACTGCTAGCTTATTATTATTAGTCAAATACTGGCAGATTGGGCAGTCCTTCCTAGCATATTATTATTATTATTATTATTATTATTATTATTATTATTATTCAAATGCTGGCAGATTGGGCTGTGCCTTCCTTCCTAGCATATTTTTTATTAATATTACTGCTAGCATATTATTATTATTATTATTATTATTATTATTATTATTATTATTATTAGTCAAAGGCTGGCAGATTGGGCAGTGCCTTCCTTCCTAGCAGACAATGGTTGGATTGGATGGTCCTTGGGGATCCACTCCACTTCTAGGCAGAGGCTGGTGGGTTGGGCAATGCCTTACTTCCTGGCCGAAGGGGTGGGACTGGATGGCCTCAGGGGGTCTCCTAGGGTCCCAGTCTCGCTGCCCTTTCCCTCCTTCCGAAGACCGCTGTGCATCTCTCTTTCTCTCTCTCTCGCAGGTGACCCTGATGCTGCTGGACCAGAACCACCGTGAGCACGTGATCGACGCCTTCCGGCCAGATGTCTCTTCCTCTTCCTTCCAGCGGCCGGTCAGCGACATGAACATCGCCAGCGGCTGCCCGCTCTTCTGCCCTCTGTCCGTCATGGAGAGCCAGAACTCTTACCTGCGGGACGACACCATCTTCGTCAAGGCCATCGTGGACCTCACTGGACTCTGAGCCTTCCTGATGTCGGACGTTGAGGAAACAGCTCGTTCTTTGGGAGGGATCCCTTTTCGTGGTGCTGACCGCAATGCCTTCGTCCGAAAGGGGGGTGGGGAAGAAGAACACCCCTCTCTACCCCTCTTTTTTTTAAGATGCATATCTATATCTTTTTGGTGCCGTCCCCAAATGAGCGGGATTCGAACCCCGCGACATTTGGTGGGAAAGTGTCCCGGAGTGGATCCGGCCCGCTTTCAGACGGGACAGGATAGGACCAGAAGGCAAGGGATATTACGCGGGGCAGAAGACCTTAGGCCTCGTAATCCACTTGGCACCTTATAGGTTGGGATCTGTAGTTCTGCAAATCCCTGGTATTTCAAAGAGATGCGCAGTTGAGAGTGTGTTGTCCTCCACCCCGGGTGTTTCCCACATTTACGATCTCAGCAAAAGGGCTTTAATATACATCTAGGCCGGGCATGGGCAAATTTGGGCCCTCCAGGTGTTTTGGACTCCAACTCCCACCATTCCTAACAGCCTCAGGCCCTTTCCTTTCCCCCCTCAGTTGCTTAAGCGGAATGGTGGGAGTTGGAGTCCAAAACACCGGAATGGTGGGAGTTGGAGTCCAAAACACCTGACGTTTGCACATGCCTAATCTAGTCCTCCCCCTTTATAATGCCCCCCAATTGAAGGCCTGCTTTGTGCAAAGGCAGGAGCCTCTTTTCCCCCCGAGAAAAACCTAAAAAGAGACTTCTTCCTTTCAGTTGAGTCCCAACTTGACCGCTCGGAAGAGGCCGGCTGACCGACCCGTTTGTTTGTTTACATCTCTCTCCTTTGGGGACGGCAAATGCGGGTGGACCCATGTCCCCACCTATTATTATTATTATTATTATTTTGGGGGCACACACACAAACACAAAATGGGAGGCCATTTTCACGGTGCAGCCAAGAGTGGATCTGGGCTGCCGAGGACCCCGTTCCCTTTTATCCCGATCCCAGATGCAATAATTTGTTGTGGCGGCTCAATAAAAGCAAAAGGCTTGGTTTTTCTAAAATTATCTTCGGGAAGAAAAAATATAAACAAAGCGCAAGATTGTATTGTTGAAGGCTTTCATAGCTGGAATCACAGGGTTGCGGTGAGTTTTCCAGGCTGTCTGGCCATGTTCCGGAAGCATTCTCTCCTGACATTTCGCCTGCATCTATGGCAGGCATCCTCACAGGTTGTGAGGTCTTTGAAAAAGGGAGATTTTTCAAAGGTTTCTGCTGGTCTGCTTTCCTTTCCATGACTTTTCAGATGGATAAGGGGGAGAATGGAGTTGTTATTATTATCATTATTAGTATATTGATGTATTTATTATTATTATTGATAGTAGTAGAGTCTTTTGAGGCCATTATTATTTTGCTTATTATTAGTGTATATTGAGGTTATTATTATTTGAAACACAACAAGATTAGGACACAGCAAACAAGTTCACTATGCTGGTTGTTTCATTATTATTATTATTACTATTTTATTATTATTTGTAGTAATTATTATTTTTATTTTTTATTATTACTGTTATATTATTTGTAGTAATTATTATTTTTATTACTATTATATTATTTGTAATTATTTTTATTATTACTACTACTCTTGTATTATTTGTAGTAATTATTATTTTAATGAATTATTATTACTATTATATTATTATTTGTAGTAATATATTATTTATTATTATATTCAGAAGTAGTAGTAGTAGGAAGAGTGTAAAGGTCTCCCCTTGACATTAAGTTCAGTCATGTCTGATGCTCAAGATTGGTGCTCATCTTCATGTCTAAGCCAAAGAGCCGGTGTTGTCCATAGACACATCCTAGGTCGGCATGACTGCATGGCGCACCGTTACCTTCCTACTGGAGCGGTACATATTGATCTACTCACATTTGCATGTATTTGTTATTAGCAGCAGTATATTGAGATTACTATATTTATTATTCGTATATTGAGGTATATGTTATTATTATTATTATTATTATTAGTAGTAGTAGTAGTAGTAGTAGTAGTAGAATATTGAGATTTATTATATATGAAGGGCCCCTGGTGGCGCAGCAGGTTAAACCGCTGAGCTGCTGAACTTGCTGAGCAAAAGGTTGGTGGTTTGCCCAGCAATATATTATAGTAATAGGTTTTCTTCAGAAAAATATATATTTATACACACAGCAATATGAGGAGCCCTCGGTGGCGCTGTGGGTTAAACTGCTGAGCTGCTGCACTTGTTGACCGAAAGGTCGCAGATTCGATTCCTGGGAGTGGGGCGAGCTCCCGCTGTTAGCCCCAGCTTCTGCCAACCTAGCAGTTCCAAAATATGCAAGTCTGCGTAGATCAATAGGTACCACTCTGGTGGGAAGGTAATGGCGCTCCATGCAGTTATGCTGGTCACATGACCTTGGAGGTGTTTACGGATAACGCCGGCTCTTTGGCTTAGAAATGGAGATGAGCACCAACCTCCAGAGTTAGACACAGGGGAAAACTTTACATCATCATCATCATCATCATTATTATTATTATTATTAGCAGCTACAAGCACTACCAGTGGTCCCATTGACCTCAAGGTAGGTTTCCAGCAGGTAAGAAAGTTTCAGGCCATCTGCACTCGAGGAAAGCTTTTATTGGTATCTGTGGCACAAAGCGTCACACATTGCACATCAGGAGGGAAAATGTGTTGGGTTTCCTTTGCAAGGAGTGTCCAGAGGTTAAGGCCTGTTCAGTCCAAGGGGCCACTCGGCCCGTAGCTGCCGGACCCTGCTGGGTGAGCACCAGACCCGGATGACGCCGTCGGCCCCAGCAGTCAGCAGGAGCTCCTGCTCCGTGGGGCTGAAGGCCACCGCGTGGACCGCCTCTCCGTGGCGCAGCTTCGCCAGGCAGATGTCATAGTGGCGGTCCCAGATGAAGCTGTGGCTGCCCTCTGCCCCACTGCAAGAGGGAGGGAAGATGTTAAGTCATTGGTGATGGAGAGAGGTGTTTTTTTTTTTTTTGCCCCCTTCAGAAGCGACTTGAGAAACTGCAAGTTGCTTCTGGTGTGAGAGAATTGGCCGTCTGCAAGGACGTTGCCCAGGGGTCATTGCCCAGTTGTTTTGATGTGTTACCATCCTTTTGAGAGGCTTCCCTCATGTCCCCACAGGAGAAACTGGAGCTGACAGAGGGAGCTCATCCACTCTCTCCCCGGGTTCGAACCTCTGACCTGTCGGCCTTCAGTCCTGCTGGCATAAGGGTTTAACCCATTGTTCCACCGGGGGCACCTACTCAACCATCCCACAAGGATGGTAGCTAGCAGGTCACAAGTTCAAATCCGGGGAGAGCGCGGATGAGCTCCCTTTGTCAGCTCCAGCTCCCCATGCCGGGACATGAGAGAAGCCTCCCACAAGGATGGTAACACATCAAAACATCTGGGCAACGTCCTTGCAGACGGCCAATTCTCTCACACCAGAAGTGACGTGCAGTTTCTCAAGTCGCTCCTGACATTACTATATCTAGTATATCTATATATCTGCATCACTATATTTATTCATCTTTGTTGTTGTTCATTCGTTCAGTCGTCTCCAACTCTTCGTGACCTCATGGACCAGCCCACGCCAGAGCTCCCTGTCAGCCGTCACCACCCCCAGCTCCTTCAAGGTCAGTCCAGTCACTTCAAGGATGCCATCCATCCATCTTGCTCTTGGTCTACCCATCTATTTATTCATCTACCCATGGAGAGATGAATAAAAAGAGAAGTGGAAGGATAGAGAGTGAGAGATGAATGGATGGAGAGAGAAAGGTAAAGGAGGGAGAGATTGAGATGGATGGATCAATAGATGGAAAGAAAGATATAGAGAAGGATGGGTAGATGAATAAATAAATATAGTGGTGCATATATATAGATATACTAGATATAGTAATGCATAAATAAATATAAATGCATAAATATACTAGATAGATAGATAAGTAGATATAGTAAGTAATGCATAGATACTATATAAGGTGTCCCCAAGGCCCAGGTCTAAAGGGAGGGGGGTCCCACTCTCCTCCGAAGGACTCACCTGGCCACAAAGTCCTTGCTGACGGCCAGGAAGGTGCAGGTGGGCCACAGCCCGGTGGGAGTGGAAGCCCGGTAGGCGCTGAGGCTGCGCTTGGCCTCCTTCAGGTTCTGCAGGTCCAGGATGCGCAGGTCCACCTTGGGGGAGGCGGGGGGTGGGTGAAGGGGGTCCCAGGGCAGGCAGCCCGCTGGCCAGGCCCGGCAGCTCACATAGAGGTACCTGCAGCCAAAGAGTGGAGGAGTTGGAAGGAAGGAAGGGAAAGAAAGGAGGAGGGAAAGGTGGAAAGGAAGACAGAAGGAAAGACATGGAAAGAAGGAAAAGGGAAGGAGAGGAAGAGAATGAAGAGAAGGAAGGGCAGGAGAAGAGGGAAGGAAACGAAAGGAAGAGAAGGAAGGATAGGAAAGGAGTAAAGGAGAGAAAAGAGAATGACAGAAATGGAAGGAAAAAAAGAAAGAACTGGGGAAAGGGAAGGAAAGGAGAAGGAAAGAAAGGCGGAGGGAAGGAAAGGAAGAGAAAGGGGAGTACAGAAGGAAAGAAATGGAAGGAAAGGAAGAGAATGGAGGAAGGACAGGAAAGGAAGAGTGAAGGACGGAAAAGAAGAGAAGGAAAGAAATGGAAAGAAGGAAAAGGGAAGGAGAAGAATGGAGGAAAGAAAAGGAAGGAAAGGAAACGAGGGAAAGATGGAAAACAAGAGAAGGACAGAAAGAAAGAAATAGAAGCCAAAGGAAAGGAAGAGAACTGAGGAAAGGGAAGGAAAGAAGAGAAAGGGGAGGAAAAGAGGAGGGGAGGGAAAGGAAGAGAAAGGGAAGGACAAGGAAAGAAATGGAAGGAAAGGAAGAAAACAGAGGAAGAGCAGGTAGGACGGGAGAGGAGGAGTGAAGGACAGAAAAGAAGTACAGAAGGAAAGGGAAGGAAAAAAGAAGGAAGGACAGGAAAGGAAGAAGGGAAAGGACAGAAGGAAAGAAATGGAAGGAAAAGGAAAGGAAGAGAACTGAGGAAAGGGAAGGATAGAAGGGCAGGAAAGGAGGAGGGAAGGAAAGGATAGGAATGGAGGAAGAAAAGGAAGGACAGGAAAGGAGTCTGGAAGGATGGATGGAAGAAAGGGAAGGAGAGGGAAGAAAAGGTAAGGAATGGAGGAAAGGGAAGGAAAGAAAGGAAGAGAACAAAGGGAAAGAAGGAAAAGGGAGGGAAGGAAGAGAACGGAAGAAAGGGAAGAAGGATGGGGGAGGGGAGGGAAGGAAGGACAGGAGAGGAGAGAAGGAAGGAAAGGAAGAGTACGAAGGAAGAAAGGAAGCTGTTGCCTCCTACCGGTGGTCTGGGGAGAGCCCCATCCCGACGATCTGCCCATGGATGTCGAAGACGTGGTCCAGCGAGTCGAAGAAGTGGTCCGACTGCTGCTCCTCTCCCAGGACAGGACCGGCCGTGGTCATCTGGTGTGGCAGGATCTGCTTGATCCCTGAGGAGGAAGGACAGAGAAGAGACCCAGGGGGGTCTTCGTGGACCACAAGCGGAGCCTGAGCCAGGAGTGTGATGCAGCAGCAAAAAAGGCCAAGGCGATTCTAGGCTGCAGCCATAGGAGTCTCGTGTTCCAATGGAGGGGATGAATATATCATTACAAACTGAACACAAGACCCTTGGGGTCTATTCCAACCCTAGGATTCTATATATCTCATATACATACAGTGGATGTCTATCTCAATCCATTTCTCAAATGTGTGGCTGGATGGCCATCTGTCAGGAGGGATTGGATGGTATCCTTTCTGGCAGAAGGTGGTTGGACAGTAGGGCCTTTAGGGGTCCCTTCCAACTCTAGGATTCTAGGATACACCTATCATCAGAGAATATCATTATCCACCTTATCTGTGGCTGGCCATCTCTCGGGAGGGATCGGGTGGTGTTTTCTCTTCCTGGCAGAATGGAATCCACAGGGATGGCCTTTGGGGGTCCCTTCCAACTCTAGGATTCTATGATATGCCGATTACTGGGGGAATATCATATCTATTCATGATATCTGGCTTGCTGGCCATCTCTCGGGAGGGATCAGGTCGTGCTTTCTCTTCCTGGCAGAATGGGATCCACCTGGATGGCCTTTGGGGGTCCCTTCCAACTCTAGGATTCTATGATACACTTCTCATTGGAGGAATAGCCCCTGGTGGCGCAGTGGGTTAAACCCCTGTGCCGGCAGGACTGAAGACCAACAGGTCGCAGGTTCGAATCTGGGGAGAGGCGGATGAGCTCCCTCTATCAGCTCCAGCTCCTCATGCGGGGACATGAGAGAAGCCTCCCACAAGGATGATAAGAACATCAAATCATCCAGGCGTCCCCTGGGCAACGTCCTTGCAGACGGCCAATTCTCTCACACCAGGAGTCACTCCTGACACGACAAAAAAAAAAAAACATCTGTGGCTGGCTGGCCATCTCTCGGGAGGGATCGGGTGTTGCTTTCTCCTGGCCTTTGGGGGTCCCTTCCAACTCTAGGATTCTATGATACACCAATCATCGGAGGAAGATCATATCTATTCACCATATCTGTGGCTGGCTGGCCATCTCTCGGGAGGGATCGGGTGTTGCTTTCTCCTCCTGGCCTTTGGGGGTCCCTTCCAACTCCAGGATTCTATGATACACCTATCATCACAGGAAGGTCATATCTATTCAAGATATCTGTGGCTGGCTGGCCATCTCTCGGGAGGGATCGGGTGTTGCTTTCTCCTCCTGGCCTTTGGGGGTCCCTTCCAACTCTAGGATTCTATGTTACGCCAATCATCGGAGGAAGATCATATCTATTCACCATATCTGTGGCTATCTGGCCATCTCTCAGGAAGGATCGGGTGTTGCTTTCTCCTCCTGGCCTTTGGGGGTCCCTTCCAACTCCAGGATTCTATGATACACCTATCATCACAGAAAGGTCATATCTATTCACCATATCTGTGGCTGGCTGGCCATCTCTCGGGAGGGATCGGGTGTTGCTTTCTCCTCCTGGCCTTTGGGGATCCCTCCCCCTCTCCCCGTGGCCCCTGCATGGAAGGGGGCTTCTTATTACCGATCTGGTGGGGCACGTAGGTGAGGCATCCGGTGGTGAAGACCAGGTACTTGTTGGCCTCTCCTCCTCCTTCGGCGCAGGTCAGGTGGCCTTTGGGTGGCTTGGTCTTCCTCCGGGCCAGGATCCGGGCCACTTGGGCCTCAGTCTCCAACTCTGCCCAGTCTGGACAGAGGCCCAGGAAGCGGCTCAGGCCACCCTCCGCTCCCCCTTCGGCCACCTCCGTCCAACGGCCTCTCCCTCCTTCCTCTGGGCTGTGTCCAGAGAGGTCAACCACCCTGGGCTCCTCGGAGGCTTCCCCTTTGCAGTCCAGTAAGAGATCCGGGGAATCGTGGCGGCTGCAGTCCACGAGCATCACATTCCGGACGGCGCTGGCGTTCAGGTTCTGGATCTTGAAGAGCCGCTTGACCACGTTGGTGTTCTCCGACTCGATGTCCTGAAGGGAAGCAACAGTTATATATATTAAAAGAATACATAATAATAGTAAATATAATTATATAAAAATAATAATAAATGATGTAATAGTTAAATAATGTAATTATTTATGTTATATAATAAGCAAGAGAGAAAGATATAAATATTCTAAGAATACATATATTAATATAATTATATAAAATATAATAATAATGTAATAGTTAAATAATGTAATAATTATTTATATTTTATATAATAACCAAGAGAGAAAGATATAAATATTATAAGAATACATAATAGTAAATATAATTATATAAAATATAATAATAAATAATGTAATAATTATTTATATTTTTATAATAACCAAGAGAGGATATAAATATTACAATATTTTATAATATAAATATTATAAGAATACATAATAGTAAATAGAATTATATAAAATATAATAATAAATAATGTAATAGTTAAATAATGTAATAATTATTTATATTTTATATAATAACCAAGAAAGATATAAATATAATAATACATAATAATAGTAAATATAATTATTTAAAAATATAATAATAATGTAATAATTATTTATATTTTATATAATAACCAAGAGAGAAAGATATAAATATTATAATAATACATAATAATAGTAAATATAACTATTTAAAAATATTATAATAAATAATGTAATACTTAAATAATATAATATCTTTCTCTCTTGGTTGAGACACAAAGCCCTCTCCCAACACTGATGATGTGGCTGCCTTGCCATCTGTTGGGAGGGCTTCGATTATGCTTTCCTTTCGTGGCTGAAAAAAGGGTTGGACTGGATGGTTGGCCTTTGGGGTACTTTTATCTTTCTATTTCTCTATTGTATCTATGGCTAGATGGCCATCTGTCGGGTGGAATTGGATGGTGTCTTCCTTTCACAAGTAGAAGGTTGGACTAGATCAGGCCTTGGGCAAACTTGGGCCCTCCAGGTGTTTTGGACTCCAACTCCCACAATTCCTAACAGTCCAAAACACCTGGAGGGTCCAAGTTTGCCCATGCCTGGACTAGATGGCTCTCTTTGGGGTTCTCTTCTAATTCTAGGATTCTATATTGTGTGCCCATGTCTATGGCTGCCTTGCCATCTGTCGGGAGGGTTTCAATTGTGTCTTCCTTCCATGGCAGAAGCGGGTTGGACTGGATAGCCCATTGTTAGGGACGTCTAGACACCTATGTTTCTCTCTATTCTATTCTAACCTGGAAGGCGTTGCTGAGCCAAAGGACGGAGCAGGAGGTCAGGAAGCCGATGCGGTGCAGGTTCCCTGAGAGGAGGTTGGTCTCGTTGAGCCAGCAGCCAAGGAGGTCGGGGGGCTTGTTCCGCACCCGGGACACCAGGGAGAAGTCCTCTGCAGGAGGAGGAGAGGGGATGATGGGCATGACAGTCCCCTCTTCAGGCAGAGAGGAAGGAAGGACTGGACGCAGATGGACCACCTCCCCCTTCGCCCTGCTCAGGGGAACCCCCAGAAGAGAGAAGAAGGAGAGGGAGGAATAGAGGGAAAGAGAAAAGGAAGGAAAAGAAAGACAAGAAGGGAAAGGAAGAAGAGAAATAAGGAAGGAAAGACAGGAAAGAGGGAAAGAAAGAGAGGGACAGAAAGAAGGAAGAAAGGAAGGGAAGGAAAAGAAAGTAAAAAAGAAGAAAGGAAGAAGAGAAAGGACAGAAGGAAGGAGGGAAGGAAGGACAGGAAGCAGGGAATGAAAGAGAGGGACAGAAAGAAGGAAGAAAAAGGGAGGAAAAGGCAGAGAAGAAGGAAAGAGGGAAGCAGAAAGAAAGGGCAGAAGGAAAAAGGGAAGAAGGCAGAGAAGAAGGAAAAATGGAAGCAGAAAGAAGGAAGAAGGAAAAAAGGGATGAAAGGGTAGAGAAGAAGGAAAGAGGGAAGGTGAAGGAAAAGGGAAAGAGAAGGCAGAGAAGAAGGAAAGAGGGAAGGAGAAGGAAGGAAGGAAGAAAAAGGGAAGAAGGCAGAGAAGGAAAGAGGGAAGCAGAAAGAAAGAAGAGAAAGAAGAACAGGAGGGAGGAAGGAAGGAAGGAAGGAAGGAAGGGAGGGAGGGAAGCAGAGAAAGAAAGAGAGGGACAGAAAGAGAGGAACAGAAAGAAGGAAGAAAGGAAGTCAAGAAAATGGAAGTCAAGAAAGGAAGGAAAAGAAAGGAAAGAAAGTAGAGTAAGGACAGAAAGAAAGAAGGAAAAGAAAGACAACAAAGGAAAGAAGGGAAAGGAAAAAAGGAAGAAGAGAAAGAAAGGCAGAAGGAAGGAAGGACACGAAAGAAAGAGGAGGAAGGGCAGAAAGAAGGAAGGAAAAGGAAGAAAGGGAGGAAGAGAAAGAAGGAAAGAAATAAAGAGTAAGAAATGAAGGAAGGACAGGAAGCAGGAAAGAAAGAGTAAGAAGGACAGAAAGAAGGAAGGAAGGGTGAAAGACAGAAGGAAGGAAGGAAGGAAGGAAGGAAGGAAGGAAGGAAGGAAGGAAGGAAGGAAGGAAGGAAGAAGAGGAGGCAGAGAAATAAAGAGAAGGAAGGACGGAAAGAAGGAAGGAAGGGAGTGAAAGACAGAATCCTAGGGATAGAAGAGACCCCCAAAGGCCACCCAGCGCAATCCCCTTCTGCCAGGCAGGAAAAGCTTAACTCGATCCTTCTTGACAGATGGCCACCCAGCTGCTGCTTAGAAGCCTCCAGAGAAAGGAAGGCAGGCAGGCACAAAACCCCCCTCGGAAGCCCCCTCACCAAGGCTGAAGACGGCGATCTCCCCGGAAAAGGAGTTCCGTGGCCCTAGGAAGACCCCTGAGACGAGGAGCAAGGAGTCATCTGGGTTGAACTGGGAGAACTGGGTGTAGCTCCAGTTGTACTCCTTCATGCTGGCGCTGTGCTGGAGGGAGATCTCCTCCGGGCCGGTGCTCCAGATCTAGAGAAGGAGAAGAGGCCTTGCAGCTGGAGTCTTTGCAGTCCTATCATCATCACCACCACCACTAACTTTTTACACCAAGCTTTTTGCAGCTGACAGGTGGTAATTTTGTCAGCGCTGATTGTTTTTAAGTGCAGGCCAAGGTCTTGAGGCACTGCACCCATTGTGCTGATCACCACTGGAACCACCTTGACTGGTTTGTGCCAGAGTCTTTGCAGTTCTATCATCATCATCCTCAACAACAACACTAATTTATTATACCAAACATCAGGAGGGCTGGATGGCTCCCTTCAGATCTTGTATTATTATTGTTGTTGTTATATTTATATCCCACTCTCCTCTCTAGGGCACCCATCATCCCCTAGGACTTGTGCACCTGGCACTTGGAGGGCTCCTTCTGGATTCTGAGCCTTCTACGTATGTCTATCCCGCTTCAAAACGAGGCTGCGGTGCCCATCACCCCCCAGTTCTCTCTCTGCGGGGCCTACCTTGGCGGTGCAGTCCTTGGAGCAGGAGGCAAAGAAGGCCCCGCTATGGGAGAAGCTGAGGTGCAGGACTTGGTCGCCGTGCTCCTTCAGGGCCTGCGTCTCCAGGCAGGGAACCCCCTCGAAGAGGCGGCGGAACTCCCCGCTCCAGGAAGTGGCCCCTAAAGAAGGGAGGAAGGAAGTGAATAGAGGGAGGGAGGAAGAGGGAAACCTCCCCCACACACACACAATGGATGCAAATCATGTGACGCTCTGGACCGCAACTCCTAGCAACCCTTCCACCATTGGAGATAGGCAAGGGCCAGGGGATGATGGGAGATGCAATCACCATGACTTTCATTTGGGGGAAGTCAGGAGATAGAAGAGGGAGGGAAGAAGGAAAGAAGGAAGGAAGAAGGGAAGGAGGGAAAAAGGAAAGGAGTGAAGGAGTAAGGGAGGGAGAAAGGAAGGAAAAAGGGAGGATGGGGATGGAGGAAGGAAGGAAAGAACAAGGGAGGGAGGGATAAAGGAAAGAACAAGGGAAAGATGGAGGGAGAAAGGAAGGGAGGGAGGGAAAGAGGGAGGAAGAAAAGAGGGAGGAAGGAAGAAGGAAAGGAAAGGGGAGAGGGGAAGGAAGAAGAGGAAGGAGGAGGAGAAAGAAAGGAGGGAGGAGGAAGAAGGGGGGGGGGAAGGAGAGGAGGAGGAAGGAAAGAACAAGGGAAGGAGGGAGGAAAAAAAGAAGGGGGAGGAAGGAGGGAAGGAAGGAAAGAGGGAGAGAGGGTGGGGAGGGAGGGAGGAAGGAAGGAAAGAAAAGGGAGGGAAGGAGAAATAAGAAAGAAGAGAAGGAGGGAGGAAGAGAGAAAAGAAGGGAGGGAAAGAAGGAAGGAAGGAAGGAAGGAAGGATGGAGGGAGGGAGGGAGGGAGGGAGGAGGGAGGGAGGGAGGGAGGGAGGGAGGAGGAAAGGGGGGAGGGAGGAAGGAAAAGAAGAAAAAGGAGGGAGGGAGGGAAGAAAGGAAAGGAGGAAGGAAGAAGGAAGAGGGAGGGAGGAAGGAGAAGAAGAGGGAGGAGGGAGAGGGAAAGGGAGGGAGGGGAGAAGGAAGGAGGAAAGAAGGCGGGAGGGATTGAAAGAAGAAAGGGAAAGAAAGAATGACAGAAGACCGAAGTTAAGAAAGGAAGAGAAAGGAAGGACAGAAAGAATGAAGGAAATGAAAGGAAAAAGATGGAAGGAAAAGGAATAAAGAGAAAGTGAGGGAAAAGAAAGATGGAAGAAAGGAAGGGAAAGGAGGAAAGAAAGAATGACGGAAGAAGGAGGGAAAGAAAGACGAAAGAAATAGGAAGGACAGAAAGAATGAAGGGAAGGGGAAAAAGATGCAAGGAAAAGGAATAAAGAGAAGGAAAGAAAGATATATAGAATCCTAAGAGCTGAAAGGGACCCCAAGGGCCACCCAATCCCTCCTGACAGGTGGCCATCCAGCCCCTGCTTAAAAACCTTTAAAAAATGGAGGCTCCTTCTTTGGAGGCTTTGAAGCAGAGGCTGGATGGCCATCTGTTGGGGCTGCTTTGAATGCGATTTTCCTGCTCTTGGGCAGAATAGGGTTGGACTGGATGGCCCACGAGGTCTCTTCCAGCACTATGATTCTATGACAGAAGGAAGGAAGGAAGGAGGCACAGAACCCCCTGCAAAAATGCGGAGAGGGCTCCTTTGGCCCCTGCCCTCCTTACCTGGGTGCCGAGGCACATCTCTTGGGATGTGGAAGTGCCTATAGAAGAGCTCCCTCCAGAGGGTCTGGTCCTGGGCCACGGCGTGCCACTGCCGGCAGGATGCTCCGGCCGAAAGCAGGTCCCGGGGGCCCAGGAAGAGGAAGATCTCCACCAGGAGGCTGTCCGGCAGCAGCAGTGGCCCCGGGGCCCAGGCTTCGCCCCCTGCCATGGGCTCATGCTGGCCTGGAAGGGAGAGAGAGGAAGAGGGTTGAGGAGGGGAGGACTTGATGCTCTCTGGGATAAGACTCTCTTAGAAGGGACATATTGCAAGAGGGCTCCACTGGAACCTTCCTGCATGGCCAATTGGGGTTGGACTAGATGCCCTCAGTGGGACCTCCCAACCCTATTGGAATATGGACTTCCTCTCATCTCCTTCTTTCGGAGTTAAGAGAGGAACGTGGCATAGAAATATAATAATAATAATAATAATAATAATAATAATAATAATAATAATAATAATAGGTGCAGTGCCTCAAGACCTTGGCCTGCACTTAAAAACAATTGGTGCTGACAAAATCACCACCTGTCAGCTGCAAAAGGCCACCCTACTGGGATCTACACACGTTATTCGCCAATACACCACACAGTCTTAGACACTTGGGAAGGGTCCGACATGTGATCCAATACAACAGCCAGCAGAGAGATCTTGTTTGCTCTGTACTCATCTTGTGTTTCAAATAATAACAACAATAATAAACACCTATCATTGAGACCTAATAGAATTACAGCTGCTCCATGGGGAAAAAAATCATTGTTATTGCTGCTATTGTTATTATTTCCTCTCTTGACCTCAGCAATACAATTGAAAACTTGCAAAATATAGATATTAAAATAGAATAATTAAGTATGCAATTTGCACTGTTCTGGGTGGCTTTGAGTGTTTCTTAAGAGAGGAAAGCTGATATTATCATAATAAAAATAATGGTCATGATGATGATTATAGTCATATAATAATATCTAATAATAATGATCATGATAATAAAGTGGTCATGATACAGTTCCCTCACTTATTGCTGGGGTTACATTCCAGGACCTCCCGCAATAAGTGAAAAACCACGATGTAGGGATGCTCTATTTATTTTAATATTTATACATTATTTTAGTAGTTATACACTACTTTAAGTCTTTATAAACTTAAAATAAAGTGAAGGAAAGGAAGGAAAGGTCCTTCAAGGCTGGAGGGAGGGAGGACCAAGGAGGGAAAGCGCCTCGGAGAGTGGTGGCGGCAAAACCCCACAAAACAGCGAAAATACCATGATATATATTTTAAATTAATATTTTTTGAAATCCGTGAAATAGCGAGTCTGCAATAATCAAACTGCGAAGTAGCGAGGGAACACTGTTCTGATAAAAAAATATTTATTTATCGTGTTAATATCAACCAGACTGATAAAAATGATATATCATAATATATGATAATTATTATAATGGTAATAACTGGTCATAATAATAATAATAATAATAATAATATAATAATGATGGTAATGATAATACTGATAACAATGATAAAATCAATAATAATAATAATAATAATAATAATAATACCGCACATAGCCTAAACTACTTTGGAGTCTCATTTAAGAGGAAAGCAGGACGATAATAATAATATGCATCGCCTAAACTACTTTGAATCTTGAATCCTAAGAGAGGAAAATGGGCATAATAATAAATAATGTAGCTGTGGAGGATATGATCCACAAAACCCTGGGAAAATTGTGTTGTCGAAGGCCATGTTCCAGAAGCATTCTCTCCTGACGTTTTGCCCACATCTATGGCAGGCATCCTCAGAGTTTGGGAGGTCTGTTGGAAACTAGAAAAGTGGACTGTGTGTGTGTATGTGTGTATGTATGTATATATATATATATATATAGAATCAAAGAGTTGGAAGAGACCTCATGGGCCATCCAATCCAACCCCCTGCCAAGAAGCAGGAATATTGCATTCAAATCACCCCTGACAGATGGCCATCCAGCCTCTGTCAGGGGTGATTTGAATGTAATATTCCTGCTTCTTGGCAGATATATATATATATATATCTGTGGAATGATGTCCAGAGTGGGAGAAAGAACTCTTGTCTTTCAATAAAGGCCAGCTAACACCTCCCAACAAAGGATTCCCCCAGGCAGGAAGCAGCCAGGCTATGAAGCTGCAAGGTTATTCAATGCTAACCAAGTTGGCGAATGGCAACATTCACACCTGCCTCAAGCAGACAAGAGTTCTTTCTCCCACCCTGGACATTATTCCATATATATATATATATATATACACATTATTCCATACATACACACAGTCCACATTCCATACATACACACAGTCTCAACCTGTCATCGATGTGGGTGAAACGTCAGGAGAGAATGCTTCTGGAACATGGCAGCCCAGAAAGCTCCCAGCCACCCAGGAAAAGTTCCTTTTGGGGGACTGGCCTCAAAAAAGTAACTTCCCCAAGCTCCCCATTCCGCTCAAAGCCCCCCAATTTACATTTTTCCCACCCTTCCCTTCTCTACAAACCTTCCACCAGTTGTTTTTAACGTCACTTCCGCCCCCTTGTGGGTAAACTTCCGCTTTTGGGCGCTGGGGCCGCCCTAGGCATTCTCGCTCTCTCTCTTTTTCCCATTCCCGAAGCCGCCGCTAGAGGGAGCGCCGAGGCGGCTCTATTTTCCCCTTTCCAGCTGTGACATCGGACTCCATTTCCCGTCGTGCCTTGCTGTTTGTTTGAATAGCCGGGGCGCCTGGGAGTTGTAGTTTTGCGTGGATTAAACATTGAATTCATGGAATACCCTGCATTTGAAAAGTTGTTGCTGTCATTCCTATCCTATGTTGTTTTTTTCCTGCTTTCCTCTCCTAAATGAGACTCAAAGTGGCTTAGGTATATATTCATTATTATTATTAATAATAATAATTTTATCATTATTACAATTATTATCATTATCCTCAGTACTATCATTACCATTATCATCATCATTATGATCATCATAATCATTATTATTATATATTATTTTCATTATGACCAGTTATTACCATTATCATAATTATTATATATCATTATTTATCATTTTATCAGTATTACCATTATCATCATGATCATCATCATTATATATATTATCATTATCAATATGATCAGTTATTACCATAATAATAATTATTATTATATATAATTTTTATCAGTATCATGACCATTTATTATATTATTATTATTATCATCATCATCATGGCGCCCCCAGTGGCACAGTGGATTAAATCACTGAGCTGCTGAACTTACTGACCGAAAGGTCGCCGGTTTGAATCCGGGGAGTGGGGTGAGCTCCCACTGTTAGTCCCAGCTTCTGACAACCTAGCAGTTTGAAAACATGCAAATGAGAGTAGACCAGCAGGACTTTACTTACTTTTACTTACTTAGGCGATCCCTCGCTTTCCGAGGATGATTGTCCTCCAATATTCTTGTGGGTCCGTATGTGGCTGTGGAGCCCTATTCTTGCTCTGCATCTTCTTCCGCAGTGAGGGCATTGGTTTCCAGGTGGGAGGCGGTCTCGGCCGGGGTTGGCTTGACGCGCCTTCCTCTTGGCACGTTTCTCTTTTTCACTCTCCACTCGTGCCTCCTCAAATTCTGCAGCACTGCTGGTCACAGCTGACCTCCAGCTGGAGCGGTCAAGGGCCAGGGCTTCCCATTTCTCAGTGTCTATGCCAGAGTTTTTAAGGTTGGCTTTGAGCCCATCTTTAAATCTCTTTTCCTGTCCTCCAACATTCCGTTTTCTGTTCTTGAGTTCGGAGTAGAGCAGCTGCTTTGGGAGACGGTGGTCGGGCATCCAGACAACATGGCCGATCCAGCGGAGTTGGTGGCGGAGGACCATCGCTTCAATGCTGGTGGTCTTTGCTTCTTAGCGCACGCTGACGTTTGTCCGCTTGTCTTCCCAAGAGATTTGCAGGATTTTCCGGAGGCAGCGCTGATGGAATCGTTCCAGGAGTTGCATGTGACGTCTGTAGACAGTCCACGTCTCACAGGCATAGAGCAGGGTTGGGAGGACAATAGCTTTCTAAACAAGCACCTTGGTATCCCTATGGATGTCCCGGTCCTCAAACACCAGCAGGAAGATAACGGTGCTCCATGCAGTCATGCTGGCCATATGACCTGTCTATGGACATCACTGACTCCCCCAGGCAGGAAACGGCCAGGCTCTGAAGCTGCAAGTCCATTTAATGCTAATGCAAAGTGGCCAATGGCAACATTCACACTTGCCTCCAACAGACAGGAGTTTTTTTTTCTCCCACCCTGGACATCATTCCAGAGATATATCATATATAACTTTATATTTCATATTACATGTAATATTACTAATAATAGCGGTACAGTACAATATGGTAATATGTAATACTGATTTTGTGCTATGCTAATAATATAATATATTGTATGTACATATAACTTGTAAGGCACACTGAGTCCCCTTCGCAGTGAGAAATGTGGGATATAAAGGTTGTGTATATATATATCCATCCCATTTTCCTAGTTTCCAGCAGACCTCACAACCTCTGAGGATGCCTGCCATAGATGTGGGCGAAACGTCAGGAGAGAATATGATCATTATTACCATTATTCTCATCATTATGATGATGATTGACCATTATTATTTCCTGGTTGGTGTTGCTCCCTCCCTGGGGCCCGGCCTTGTCCTGTGTCCTCCTCTTGGGATTAATGACTGACCAGTCCACTCCCCCTCCGGCCTCACTTTCTCCCATTGACCCCCAGTTCATATTGCTAGACCCAGAGCCATGGCCTCCCTGCTGGACTCCTTCCTCCTCTGCCTCTGCCTCGCTTCTTTCTCCCAAGGCGCCCAGCCCCGAAGGCAGCCCCCGGTCCCCCAGAAGCCGCCCATCGAGACGGTCGCCCTCCAGCCAGACTTTGACCCCGAACAGGTATATCCCACTTTATCTCACCATACAGAGACTCAAAGTGGCTCACCATCAAAAACTTTACAACTGAGGTAAAGGTAAAGATTTTCCCCTGACATTAAGTCCAGTCGTGTCCGACTCTGGGGGTTGGTGCCCAGCTCCATTTCCAAGCCAAAGAGCCGGCATTGTCCATAGACACCTCCAAGGTCATGTAGCCAGCATGAGTGCATGGAGCGCCATTACCTTCCCGCCAGAGTGGTACCTATTGATCTACTCACATTTGGATGTTTTCGAACTGCTAGGTTGGCAGAAGCTGGGGCTAACAGAAGGAGCTCACCTCACTCCCCAGATTCAAACCTGCGACCTTTCAGTCTATAAGCTCAGCAGCTCAGCGGTTTAACCCACTGTGCCACCAGAGGCAACTTAAAATATATAAATATACAATAATAAAACAGTATTATCATTCAATATCTATATAAATAAAAATGTAATTTTTGTATGTGCGATTAACATAACTCAAAAACCACTGGACGAATTGACACCAAATTTGGAAAACAAGACACCTATCAAGCCAACAAGTGACCATCACACATAAAACACTGAAAAATACAGTGGAAGGGACTTCAAAAGCCAAAAAATAAAAAATGCATTACAACGCATGACGCAAACATACATATACACACATATCCACAAATATATCCACACACAAAGCACATATATACAAACTGGGCCACAGCAATGCATGGCAGTGGACGGCTAGTTATTATATATAATCAGTAGTAATTATGTTTATATTAGTATTACTATATTCCGATATTAATATTATATATTATCTTATTTTTTGTATTATATTGTATTACATTATAATATTATTATCAATATTATACTAATATTAGGCTAGCATATTATCTTCTTCCCAGCATCCTATGCAAATGGATTAGATTAATTAAATAATTACAGTAGTATAATACTATTGATAATGTTATTACCAATATACTAATATTGTGTTGTGCTAATAAAGTATTGTATACACATATAGAATCATAGAACCATAGATATTATTATATATAATTAGTAGTAATTATATTTAATGTATTAGTATTACTATATTCTGATATTAATATTATATATTACATTATTATTGTATTATATTGTATTACATTATATTATTATCAATATTATACTAATATTAGTTTAGAATATTATCTTCTTCCCAGCATCCTAAGAAAATGGATTAGATTAATTAAATAATTATCGTAGTATAATTCTATTAATAATGTTATTACCAATATACTAATATTGTGTTGTGCTAATAAAATATTGTATACACATATAGAATCATAGAACCATAGAGTTGGAAGAGACCTCGTGGGCCATCCAGACCAAACCCCTGCCAAATCACTTTCAAAGCACCCCTGACAGATAGCCATCCAGTCTGTTTACAAGTCTCCAAAGAAGGAGCCTCCACCACACTCTGGGGCAGAGAGTTCCACTGCTGAACAGCTCTCACATATTCAGATGGAAACATTAGGAAGAACTTCCTGACTGTGAGAGATGTTCAGGAGTGGAACTCTCTGCCCTGGAGTGTGGTATCTCTATAGTGGTATCTCTGTCTGTCTCTGTTTCTATATATATGTACGGTATATCTGTTTTTGCAAGGAGCAGGTTTTTCAAGCTGAGCTCAATGTTGACACTGAAACATTGAAATGAGATGGGAAGCGCAATCCCTTTCCCACCTTTGACCCCGGGATCCCATCCCAGTCCCATTGAGAAACCCTTGGCTGGGCTCCCTGCTTTGCCAGGAATCAAAAGGAGGAGGGCAAAGCCCCCCAGGGTCATTGACCCAACAGGCTAAGTTTGCAAAACTGCGGCTCCCACAACTTTCAGCATTCTTCTCCTTTGGGATCTGTAGTTTGCTGGGACGTGGTTCCTGGTTGCAACAGCCTCCCGCTGTGCCTATTTGTCTGAAAACCACTACCGCTTGGAGGCCACAAATGTGGTGGTGACCCTTGTGCCTAATGCAGACTCCGGAGAAAAGGCCCTCCTCTTCAGCACCTTTCGCCCGCTGTGAGTTAGTCTTCCTAGTGCAGAATACTCTATTATTATTATTATTATTATGATTATTATTGGTTTTATATTTTTATATTATATTATATATTAATAGTTTAGCATTGTATCATTATTATAGATTCTTATGCCATATCATTATTTTAGTATTTTGTTATCATTATATTATTTATTATTTTATATATTATATATTTATATTAAAATATATATTATATAATTATATTTATATTATTATGTATTTATATTTATTACATTCATATATTTTATCATAATTATCGTATATATTTATATTATATACATTATTAGTCCAGAATTGTATAATTATTATTGTATATTCTTATTTTAGTGTTTTATTGTAATATTCTTTTTTTATTATATTAGTATATTTTATTATTAATATATTATTTTATTATATTATTATACATTATTATATTGTTTTTATTGTACTGTATATTATTATTATTTTTATTGTCGTCATTATATTTTGTAATTAGTGTATTTTGGTAATATTATTTATATTATTATATTACTATAGTTTTACTATTATATGAATATATATTATTTTATTATTATATTTATTATTATATATATTAGAGTATATTCTTATTATTATAGTATATTATTATCATTATTATTTCTTCCTATCTTTGCGGGTGCAGGGAGGGCCACTGCTGGAATATCACCCAAACCTACTTCCCTGGAAAGACTCGCGGACGCTTCCAGATCAAAGGTGATAATGTCTTCTTTCCCCAGCCCTGATCCGTTCCATATGGCAGGGCATTCTTTCAGGAACAAATTACTTTGGGGGGAAAGTAACTTCCCGAATTCCTTTCCAGGTCGCAGCCTACCTGTTGAGGTTGCCATTGGGGAGACAGACTACAGCAGTTATGCCGTTCTCTTCCTCCAAAGGGCCAAGGGCCTCTCTGCAAAGCTCTATGGTGAGCATCACAACAACAACAACTACAATAATAAATATATAATAATATGATAATAATAACATATAATTAATATATTATAATTATTAATAGTAAAGGTTTTCCCCTGACATTAAATCCAGTCGTGTCCGACTCTGGAGTTTGGTGCTCATCTCCATTTCTAAGACAAAGAGCCGGCATTGTCTGCAGACACCTCCAAGGTCACGAGGCCGGCATGACTGCATGGAGTGCTGTTACCTTCCCGTCAGAGAGGTGCCTGTTGATCTATTGACATTTGCATGTTTTAGAACTGCTAGGTTGGCAGAAGCTGGTACTGACAGTGGGAGCTCATGCTGCTCCCCGAATTCGAACCTATGACCTTTCAATCAGCAAGTTCAGCAGCTCAGCAGTTTAACCCACTGCGCCACTGGGGGCTCCATAATTATTAACAGCAACATAATAATATAAAATATTATACTGTAATAATATAATACAATAATGTAACAATTATAATAATATAATGACATCAAATTGGATAGGGTAGAATAATATAACTGCAAAGGGCAAAAGGAGTGATGGGAATTGTAGTACGCCCCTGGGTCAAAGAAGCAGAGGACTATTTCCTTTTCTTTCATTTCATTCCTCTTTCTTCCTTCCTTCCTTCCTTCCCTTCCATTTTTTCCTCCCCTTCTTTCCTTCCTTCCTTCTTCTTCCTTCCTTCCTTCCTTCTTCCTTCTCCTTCCTCCTCCTTCTCCTTCCTTCCTCTTCTTTTCTTCCTTTTCTTTCCCTTCCCTCCTTTTCTTCCTTCCTTCCCCTTCCTTTCCTCCCCTTTTTTTTTCTTTCCTTTTCTTTCCTTTCTTCCTTCCTTTTCTTCCCTCCTTTCCTTCCACCTTCCCTCCTTCCCTTTTCTTCCTTTCCTTTCCTTTCTTCCCTTCCTTTTCCTCTTCCCTCTTTTCTTCCTCTCTTCTCCCTCTCTTCCTCTCCTCTTTCCTCCTCTTTCTTTTCTTCCTTCCTTTTCCCTTCCTTTCTTTTTTCCTTCCCTCCTTTTCTTTCTCTTCCCCTCTTTATTCCTTCCTTCCAACCTTTTCCTCCTTATTTCCTTTTCTTCCTTTCCTTTCCTTTTCCCCATCCTTCCTTCTTTTCCTTTCTTCCATCCCTTCTTTCCTTCCTTCCTTCCATCCTTTCCCTCCTTCTTTCCTTTTCTTCCCTTCCTTTCTTTTTTCCCTTCCCTTTTTTCTTCCTTCCTTCCTTCCCTTCATTCCTTCCTTCTATCCTTTCCCTCCTCCTTTCCTTTCCTTTTTCCCATCCTTCCTTCCTTTCCTTCCTTCCATCTCTTCTTTCCTTCCTTCCATCCTTTCCTCCCTTCCACTGATCCATCCACTTTTCTTCTTTCTTTCCTTCCTTCCGCCCATTCCTTTCCTTCTTTTCTGTCTTTCCTTCCCTTCCATCCCTTCCTTCCTTCCATCCTTTCCTTTCCCGTGCTTTTCTTCCTACCTTCTTTCCTCTTTTTCTTTCCTTCCTTTTCCCCTTCCTTCCTTCCTCTTCCTTCCTTCCTTCCTTCCTTCCTTCCTTCCTTCCTTCCTTCCTTCCTTCCTTTCTTCCTTAGTTCCTTCCTTCCCTTCTGCTTTGTTTGCACAGGGTGCAGGGAAGAAGACAATAACCATCTCCTTCTTTCTCCTTCTTCTGTTCAAAAGGCCGTTCGGCCAAAGTGGGTCCCGCGGTCACCGCCAAGTTCGAGCGACGGGTGAGGGATCTGGGCCTGGATGAGAACGACCACATCTTCTACTTCCCTTCCTACGGTGAGCCTCTGCCTGGGAAAGGGGGGACTACAACTCCCATGAACTCTGTTTTTTCCTTCCCCTTACATTCCTTCCTTCCTTCCCTCCTCGCAGGGTTCTGCCACACAGCCGACTCCTTCCACACCCTGGACGGTAAGCGGTCATCATAATGCATCAATACAATGTATTATTTACCCAAAGGACCATCGTTGAGCTTTTTGAGGCTGAGAGAGTGTGACCTTTTGCTTCCTTTCCAGAGACCAAGTTCACCGGGACCCGCTGAAGCCCTCCTTTCCTCCACTGGACCCAAATGCAGAGCAAAAGCCCAGAAAAACATTAAATTTTTTTTGGATCCAAACATTTTTTTGTGTTTCTTTTTCTCCTTGTGTCAAGAGCCTATTTGGTTCCAACGAAGAGACCGCAGCATCAGCATCATCAAAATGAGGGGATAACATGACATTTGTATATGTGTGTGTATGTGTGTGTCTATGGCTAGATGTCCCTCTGTCTGGAGTGATCAGATCGGGTGTGTGTATATAAATATGTACACACATACACACACAACCCTATGGCAGTATGCCCCTCTGTTGGGCCTTGGATGTTGTGTGTGTGTGTGTATGTATGAATATATATACACACACACACACACACACACATACATATACATGCTATGGCTGAATGACCCTCTCGGGAGTGACTGGATGGTGTGTGTGTGTGTGTATATAAATAAAACCTATGGCTGGATGGCCCTGTCTGTAGTGATCAGATGGGGTGTGTGTGTATATATATGTACACACACACACACACCTATGGTTGTATGGCCTTCTGTTGGGCCTCGGATGTTGTGTGTGTGTGTATGTATGTATGGATATGTATGTGTGTGTGTGTGTGTGTATATATGCATACACACACACACACACACACATACATATACATGCTATGGCTGAATGACCCTGTCGGGAGTGATTGGATGGTGTGTGTGTGTGTATATATATATATAAATAAAACCTATAGTTGGATGGCCCTCTGTCGGGAGTAATTGGATGGTGCTTTCCTTTATGGCTAAAGGGGTAGAGCTGAATGTCCTCTGAGTATCCCTTCCAACTCTATGATAGCTATCTCGTATCTATTTATCATATCTAAATCTATCAATATCATACCTATGGCTGGATGGCCCTCTGTCAGGAGGGATCGGCTGGTGCCTTCCGTGATGCCGCTGGATGCCCTCTGAAGCTCCCTTTTATGATTCTATGATATCTATATAAATAAAAATGTAATGTTTGTTTGTGGGATTAACATAACTCAAAAACCACTGGGCAAATTGACAAATTTAGACGTATTATTATAAATAATAATAATAATAATAATAATAATAATAATAATAATAACAATAATAAATATTATTACACTGTTATTCCAGGTTAAGGGTTGACTAAAGGTTATTATGCTGCTAATCTATATAAATATAAATGTATACTATAATAATATATACAATCTATATAAATAAACATGTAATGTTCGTTTGTGTAATTAAAATAACTCAAAAACCACTGGGCAAATTAACACCAAATTTGGACACAAGACACCTATCAGGCCAACGAGTGACCATCACTCATAAAAACACTGAAAAACACACCGGAAGAGACTTACAAGCCAAAAAAAAAATACATTACAATGTATGAACAAAACCACATATACACACACACAATCACAGAATCATAGAATCATAGAATCAAAGAGTTGGAAGAGACCTCATGGGCCATCCAGTCCAACCCCCT